GTGTGTGTGTGTGTGTGTGTGTGTGTGTGTGTGTGTGTTATCTGTTGGGGAAAATTTTTAATCATTTTCCTGGTAAACACAGCCTGGTGAGGACCCAAAAACACTTTGGGAGAAATACCATTGGTGGGTCGGGGGTTAGATTTAGGACTAAGTTGTGAATTGAGTTTAGGTTAGATTTAGGGTTAGGTAGGTACCTGTGAGGTTAGGTTTAGAGTAAGGGGTCAGAGTTAGGCTGTAGAAATGACCGGTAAATGAAGGTCAATGCAAAGTCCCCATTAGGATAGAAGAACAAAAATTTGTATGTGTGTGTGTGTCTTTCTAATGGCACGAGCACAAAGTGCAAGAACACAAAGTTATTTTTCCTTTAGAGAAGTCGACACACATTATCAACGTTAGCTTCTACTAAACAACATGTGAACCTTGACTTAAGGGACAGTCGAATCATTTTTGAAGTCACGTTCTAGTTGTTCTCAGTAGTTTATACCTTATCACTTTGGAGGGTGGGGGTAAGAAAGACGGAGAGAAGATAAGAATAAAAAAATCCATCATCATCCGCTTTATCCAAAGTCATTGAAAATTAAATAAAACTAATCTAATATTTTTTTAAATCACTGTCACAACATCAAATGTGTTTTGCGGTCATTATTTTAAAACACAATTTATAAGAATATATTGAAATGTTATTTTAAAGAGAGCTTAAGAGAGGTTCGATTTATTTTGTTCTGTTCTTATTGTCAATGGTTTATTAAAAAGTTGTTTTATCAGTGGGAATATAAATGTGTTTAAAACATGTTAGTTAATAAAATTCTTATGCCAAACAAATGTAATAATTATTGACTAGTGAATAAAAGTGAGGGAAAAATGGTTTAAAATTTAATGTCTCTTTACCTTTTTTGAAGTATTTTTTTTTTGTTGGTTTGCAATGGGGGGACCCTGGCCATAAGCTAATGCTGTTTGGAGGGTCATGGCATGGAAAAGTTTGGGAGGAACAGAGAGTTTGCAGAAAAAGGCTTAAGTCTTTTCCCAGGCTACGCAGATGACACCCTGTTTTATATTGTTTTTCAGGATTAAAAAAAGTCTCTCAAAAAATGATATGCCATTGTAAAAAAAATGCTACACTAGCTAATATTAAATCCATAAAATTCTGTATGACATTATTGACTGTTTAGTTTGTCTCTGTTTTCTCAAACACTGTTTGTGTTACTGTGTAAATGTGCATTACATGGCTATATGTGCTGATCAGGAAGAAGTGCCTTTTAGTTTATTTATTTTTGTGAGAAAGTGTTGTTGGCAAGCCTGAAAATTTATCAGAATTGAGCCCTTTATTTGGCTACCGATTAGCCTAGATCAATATTTTTTGCCTTTCTCCAAACTCTGTGCTTCGTGGCTGATGTCACAGGTGATATGGTACTAACTACAGATTCAACAAAACATCTGTTCAAAAATAAACAGACTATCTCTTTAAACTCATTTTGACCAATGTCATAAAGCAACACTTATTGATGCTTCTAACATGCATTTCCAAAAACGTCATGCAGAGAAGTCCACACAGCAGAGACAAGTTGACTCAAACATATTAAGAGTTTTGTGCACAAAGAATCATAAAGTTAGGTCTTTGCAAACCACTACTTTCACTGAAGCTTTCTAGTTAACATTGGAAGGCCGGTACAAACAGTGCTGTCATGGCACATTCAGGTGTGTTTTTATTACTACAAGCACAGTGCATGATGGTCACCAGTAGATAGTACCTGCAGGGTGTCGCCGCATTCAAGCTGAGGAAAGATTAAAAAAAAAAAAAAGTTTATCCAATTCAACAGGCATGAAAACATTTAAACTGTGAAAACGTACTTATTAAGGAGTCCTTCCACTAATAACAAAAATGTGACAAAGTCAAAACAGCATGTAAAGCTTAATTATTATAACAAATCAATGTAGAGTATAATCTTTACTCTCCTTTATAATTATCACCTGCTACCCTCACATTAAAAATACCAGGACCGCTTTCTCCCACATGTGTAATATCACTAAAATTAAAAACATCTTGTCCAAAAATGATGCAGAAAAACTGATCCATGGATTTATCAGGTCTAGGCTGGACTACTGTAACTCTTTATTATCTGGGGTCAGGTGAGGTTAATTTTAGGGTAAATGGTCAGGGATGGTCTATAAAGTCTAAAGAAAATGAATGGAAGTCAATGGAAGGTCTCCACGAGTGTGTGTGTGTGTGTGTGTGTGTGTGTGTGTGTGTGTGTGTGTGTGTGTGTG